TCAGTGGCCATCCCAGAGACCCCTTCTTACGGTGATGAAGAAACCCAAGACAAGGTAACTCATCCACAGCCACCGAGCCAGCCAGCAGCTGCAAAGAGCCCACACAGGTCTGCCAGCTCACGGTCCAACGCGCTTTCCCACCCATCATGCTGCAAGGCACGTGAAAGAGGAACCCTGTCGCTGGGAGCTGCAGCGGAAAGGTGGGTGGTCACAACTTGGCAACAAATTAGATCAGTTAGAACAGCATCTTCCTATCTGGGAAAATGAAGCTAGTGTGAGCATAATTACAGTAATTAGCTGCCTCAGGCACCCAGGGCACTGAGAGAAAACCTGTGGCTCCCCAGTCCCTGGCGACTTTTAGCAACGCCCTGGCTGGTTTTCGGGATTAAGGGAGGCATTTCCTGACGAAGGCTGCGACAGCTGTTCCCCAGGGAACAGGAGTGAGAATTTGAAATAAAGTTGTCGGAGACAGGCCCTTTGACACCCAACTGAAGGAAAGCCAAGCAAACGAGACAGACAGAAAATAACTGTTTCAATGCTGCGGCTCCAAATCAACTGTTCTAACAATGGAAAGAGAATTGCAAGATATTAAATTGCATACCCCGCCCACCCCACATGCTATTAAATTTTCAGTTACTGGATTTATAGTATCTGGATCAGTGGTTCCGAAGTTTAAAGTGCCTTAAAATCAGCTGTGAACTTGTTAAAAATGAAGATTTCCCAGGCACCCCACCAAAAATTCTAATGTGGGTCAAGGGTGAGCCCCAGAAATCTACGGTCTTAACAGGCGACACCCTTCCCGCCACCCCCAAGGTGATAATGCAGGAGGTCGAGGGCTCACACTTTTAAACATTTATCTTAATCTTTGTTTATAGGATACGAAACCACTTAAAAAGTATAACAAATATTCACCTCAAAATGGCTAAGAATAAAATAGCATATCAACCAAAATAAAAATTTAGCCTGCCATAAGTAAAAATGCAATGAAAAAAAATACAAACCAGCTGATTTTGCTAATCAAAATAATCAAAAACTTCTGAATTCAAAATTATGTAAAATTTTTCACAACTGTATTGGAAGGGGAAAATGCAACACATAGGAGAAAAAAAGATGTTTGCTACCCACGATATAAATAGAAAGACTTAGCCCTAGCTGGTGTGGCTCAGGGGACTGAGCACCACCAGCCTGTGATCCAAAGGGTCGCTGGTTCAATTCCCAGTCAGGGCACATGCCTGGGTTGCCAGCCAGGTCCCCGGGGCATGCAGGAGGCAACCACACATTGATGTTTCTCTCCCTCTCTTTCTCCCTCCCTTCCCCTCTGTCTAAAACTAAATAAACAATTTTTAAATAAATAAATAGAAAATTTTAAATACACGTACCACAACAGATACATGAGCAAAAACACAGAGAGAGTTCATGGACTACACATACAAACTGAACAACAAATACTCAACTTAAAAGCAAAGCAATGTATTAAAATTTTATTTAACATGGATTTTAAAACTATTCAATAACATTCAACGCTACCACATAAATTGCTAAGGTTTATTTCGGCATTACAGTTTTATATAAAAACTTGATTCAATCAACAACCACTATTAGGCACCCACCATCCAGTCCAAAACATGTAAAGATCCAGCCTGGTGGGCTTCAGATTTAAGTTACATTCTAATTTCCCTTCTAGAAACGTAGCTTTAAAAAAAAAAAAAAGTCCACACACAAAGAAATTTCACCAAAGCCTTACCTACATAACTATTATCATAGCATTGTTTATAACAGCCCCCCAAAACTGGAAATAATAAGTAATTGTTAAATAAGTATTAGGATGAAAAAACGTGTTTTCAAACAATTAATAGGGAAATGCTGAAATTAATATTGAGTGGAAAACAGTAAACACAATTGGGCAAGTAATTCAATTTTCATTTTTTTCAATGTTAACAAAGGAAAGACAAAACTACTTGTGGTGTCTTCTGTGGGTTGTGGGAGGACTTCTTGTTTTTCTATACTTTTCTAGTATTTGCAAAGTTCTCAGTTTCATCAGAACTATTATGCTGAGAAATACTTATCCCTGAAGAAATGCCATGAAACAATGGGCACCACCCTTTCCTTTCACGTTTTTGGGTGCGGGGTCTCCGAAAAGCACAACATTCAAAAGCGAATCCCAAGTCTCACAAATTGTTTCCACAGTGGACAGTCGAGACCAAACTTACAAATGTTGAAACAAAAATGAACACATGCAAAATGCTGAATGAAGTGGAAATAGACAAGAAATCGATTAAAACATAGAACTTTAAACAAAGCCTGAAAGCGGACTCCATTTAACACAAGTTCAGGAGGAAAGAGAAACCCCCTGGAGGAGGAGGGCGTTTTCAGACCGCCACAGAAGCGACTGGAGCCTCCCTTAAGAAATCCAAAACGGGTTTAAGACGTACCCTGTTCTGACTGACGCCGCTTAGAGAGACCACCAGGTCTAAGTCCAGCAAAGCCTCCGCCACCCCCACTCTGATGGTGAAAATGCAACACTCAGAGCTGGCAGCCACAGGGTCCTGGGGGCACAGACAGCTGACCAGGCCAAACAACTGAAATGCAACCTCTTCCCAGGATCTCAGCCACTCACCATGCACTAGGAAGCCACCCTGCACGGGTGTCAGTCCTCCCAGCCTTCAAGAAGCGGATCAGGAGGCAGACAGATCTACCCTGGAACACTTTCAACTCACTGCCTTCCTCGCCCGTGAATGGTCCACATGAGGGTCGGCAGCGGTGGCTTCGCGCACAGCTTTGTGCTTCCAAATTGGATCCTTGAGCACAGCTGCCTCCTACTCTAGACCCAACCTAGAAGCAGCTGCGTGAACCGGAGGAGCCCAATACACAAATCAGTGAGAGGATGAAGACTCTGCTCCTGCAATGTCGGCTCTAGAGTGGATGTATAACTCATTTCATGTCTCCGGGTTGGATACAGGTACACCCCAGGGACGCTGCAGCTTGGGTCACTTCCCGCCACCCTAATAAAGCCAGTCGTGATCTTTTTGTTGGTAGGGGGTATTGCCTTCAATTTTAAAACAACGCAACACCTGTGAAGCACAGCAAACCCACGTGCAATAAAACGGGGTCTGGCTGTATTTGTATTGTGGGTTGAGGGGGAATGGGAACAGACTTCTAAAGAAGAGAAAGCTATGGAGGGACAGAACAAACCGCTCCACTATTGATATCGGAATTATCTAAACAATCACTTATATTCGCCGTCTCTTCAACATATCCAGGACGGCCTCGCTGGCCTGGGGAAGCTGTATAGAGATTAAGTGCATAGAGTTTGGAGTCAAACTAACCTAAACTCCTGCAGCCTTAGTTTCCTCATCTGTGAAATGGGGGCAGTGATGCCCACCCCACAAGGAGACTGGGTCTTGTATATAGAATGTAGCACTCGGCACACAGGCAGCCCTCAGTAAATGGAAAGGATTGGTTTGCCTATCTCGCAGCTGATGACCCCATCAGTATCAGGTGGGCTTTCTTTGTTGACGAAAGCCAAAGGCAGTCTTCGCAATCATCTCTTCTCACAGAAAGCCCAGGGTCTCCTCTCCTCTCTGGACACGCAGGGTGGCCACACGCAGGGGGCAGCACTGGGCCCGGAGGTGCTACATGGAGGCAAAGTCTTTGCAGCCTCAAAAGACTCCGGGGAAGAAGCCTGTCTTGCAGCCGCAGCTCCGGGTGGCTTCCTGAGGCAGGGCTCCACCAGCTGGGGAAAGCTCTGCGGAGGGCCTGGGTGTGTGTAAGTGGGGTGAGCTGGAAAGTGATGACTCTGCACAAACTAGCCTGTGACCTTGAGCAAGTCAGTTTCCTCCTCAGTAAAAGGAGTGGTTCCATTATGCCATCCCTGGGGTCTCCTCCTGGGCTCCCCACTGGACCAGCCGCCCCCGCCCCCACAGCACTGGTTATAATTCCACCAGTGAGGTCCCAGGGACACCTTCAAATGTGCTCCGCTTCCTTCCAAAGCCACTTGGCAGTCCTCTGGCCCTGCTCCCAAAAGAAGGAAGGATTCGGAGTAGCGTCCATGGGTTCTGTCTTTGCTCTGTGTCCACCCACAGCTGCTCAGTCCACCTTTCCTTTTCTGCCCCCAAAGTGGTCAAGTGTGCGCACGCCGGAGGCCACCACTGGCTCTCAGCCTGTCGGCTCAGAGATGGTTTCCAGACCATCCTGTGTGTATGCTCAGGGTAGACAAACAAACATTTCAGAGAAGCAATGTGAATTAAATCATTTCCTGAACAACAAAACCCGCCTACGTGCTTCTTCATAAATCATGCTCTTAATTCCAGGCTGACGATCCGTCAGTAAACTGCATCTATTATAAAAACAACCCCGACTCCTTTCATGCCTTGACACTTAAGAATCACAATATTTGCACACTCTATTGTACTAATGCCTTTGCAGAAGTAAAAGCAATAGCTAGTTCCCTGGAAAGACCCATGGCCAGGGCGCTTTCCAAGACAGATCCTTTGAATGTTCTTTGTGTCCTGGTGTACTGGGGCCAGCCTTCCTGCATCTGGGGGACGCAGGGTACTCAGAGTAATGCAACACCGCTCAAAAGCACACACAACCCCCGAATGCCTCCCCCCGCCTGACATAAAGTATTATTCCCAAACATTTTATATATCAGTGATTACAGCCATGCACAAATACAATTCCACTGCCTGCATTTTGCAGGGAAAATAAAGGCACATTCGGACACGAATGCAACCAGACCCTCCTCGGGCTCCGAGAATAACAGGATAGCTTTGCAGACGATTAGCAAGATTGGCCACAATCCGCTAGCTCTCTGCTTTTATCTTCTCCGTACCTTTATTTGCTGGGCCCAAGAAGAATGGAAAAGCATCTCAAGAAAGCAAGGCGAGGGAGCGGTGGAGAATAAAAGAGTCTGGGCGGGGAAAGCCGGATTTTGAAAATAGCAGCAATAAAGGAAGGCAGGGTCGCGGCGGCGGCGGCCCGAGGGTCTCCGCGGTGCTTACCTGGGGCGCACGAGGCCGGCCGGGCCAGCAGCAGCAGCCAGAGGCCGGGGAGCAGCAGCCCCGGGCGGCGGCGGCGGGCGGAAGGCCCGCGGCCGCTCGGCCCCGGGACCAGCGCGACCCCGGCGCGGGTCTTCCCGTCCATGGCCGCGCCTCGGCGTCGGCGCCGCGCCCCCGGCAGTCCCGGCCCGGCCTCGCGGCTCGGCGCTCTCCGACCCGGGCGAGGCGGCGGCGGCGGCTGGGACGGGGCGCCGCGCACCGGCGCGGAGGGGAGGCCGGCGAGGCGGGGGCGGGCCGGGGGCCGGAACCGCGGACGGGGCCGCCAGCCGCACGCCCGCCTCGCCGCTCCGCCCCCTTCGGAGCCTCGGAGCCGCTGCCCGGCAACGCGCGGGCCCGGGCGCGGGCGGACGAGCACCACCTCCCGGCCGGCCGGGGGCCTGCCCGCGCGGTGGCCGGACGGCGGACGCGGGGCTCGGAGGCGCCGGGGCTGCGCGGCGCGGGGCCGGGCCGGGTCCTCCCCCAGGACCCGCCTCCCGGGAGGGGGCGCGGGCGGACGCGAGCGGCCGGGGCCGGCCCGGAGCCGGCGCTGTGCGGGCCCGCACCCCACCCCGGGTCCCGCCGCCGGGTGGCCCCGCGCGTTCCGTCCCGGGGGGCGCCCGGGGAGAGGGAAGGAGGCGGGCCAGCGGGGTCGGAGCCGGAAACCTGGCCTCTCGCTCCTCCTCCGGCGCCCGGCTTCGCTCTGCGGGGCTGTGTGCGGGGCAGCAGGTGTGAGCGAGACGCCTGTGCTTGGAGGACGGTCTTGGGGGCTGCGGAGAGGACAAAGCCGAGGAAAGGTCGGCTCGCGTCCCAGGAGCCCGACTGGCAGCAGAGGGGGCGAGAGAGGCGCCCGTGTAGCCCTACCCGTCCTTTCTCCCGTCTTCAGGCTCTGCCTCCCGTCCCGGTCCCGGAACGGGACGCTCCCGGCCGGGGAGGTCCGCACACTCCCCCCACGTAGTAGGCCTTCGGAAGGCGCCTGTTGAGCCTAACCGAAGTGGCGCTGGAGAGAACCGCGTTTGTCCAGGGCCTTTTAGAGAAAGCAGCGCTTTAGGGAGGTGGAGAACAGGTCAGAGGATTAGCGTTTGGGCGTTAGAGTCCCGGGGCGGGGGGCGGGGAGTGAGGAAGGCGAAGAAGGGAGTTAACGTTTGTCCCGGACCTGCGGCGTGCCAGGCCTCTGACCCCGAAGCCGCTCTGCGTCTTAAGGGTCTTGCAGCGTGGCATCGGCGATTCTGAACCTTTGCATCCTTCTGCAGTGCACCAGACGGGGCACTAAAGGTCTGAGCTGCAGCCACTCTCGCACTAGCCTGGGAAACGACGGTGGGTGGACGGTAACAAATGCGAATGGTCCACAGTGACAGACAGAAGGAGGGCCGAGGTCGTGCTTCAGGCCCTTTCCCCTACGGGGCCCATCTTCAGCCCCTCCGGGCAGTAACAGGCCCTTCTCAGGCTTTCTTCTGTAAGCACCTACCGGTTCATTTCCAGGAAGATAATTGAGAATAAAGGTTAAAGACAGCTTTTGCTGATGCTTCTAATTTGTACTCTCTTATGCCTCCACGTCATTATAAACAGTTCTGCTCCCCCTCTCCCCCGTTCCCCCTCCCCCAACATGAACAGAAAGCTTTGCAGACCTTGCCCTCCGGCTCGTGAACTCCAGGTGAGTTACTAGGTGGAGGCAGCGCCTGTCCCAGCCGCCTCTCTGCTCCCTGGATACAATGGCCCGAGGTCTGGGACCTCTTGTTCACACTTTTCTTCATTCTCTGAACTCATTGTGAGAAAACTTCATTTGACCTCCTTGGGGTGATTCTTAAATTGGCTAGTCCCGTTATTTTACCTTTCATGAAATTAGGCTGGCCCTCTCCAACCGAATTAATATGAGGTTTGATGTTGGTGTCCTCCTACTTAGGGTTTCCCAAAGCATGGGGTGGCGGGGTAAACCCTTGTTATGCATGTGCTGATTTCAACCAGAGCATCCACCTGCCCAGGGAAGACTTTTAACCTTTCAGGTGTGGCCCCGGCCTCCAGTAAGCGCCCACCTAGCTCAGAACCCAGGGTGTCGGGAGGGGGCTCCCTCTGGATTCTCCAGCAATGCAAGGAGACGAAATGTTGACGCAGACATTAAGAAGGGCTTGACATCCGTTGGGAATAAAAGTCACAATTTTGAGATAATAGAAATGACTGAAGGTCACTAACTTTCCCAGGAAAGCGAGACCCCTAGGGTCCCACGGTCTCCGAGCTTCCCAAGGCGTAAAATGGATACTACTTCTGTAAGGATCCAGAGCATTCCCCTTCGGTGTTTAGAAAAATGCCTCCCCCGAGCTCCAGTGGTTTAGCCGAAGCGTTTGGTGACTCGGAAGTCCAAGACAGAATGAGTGGCAGGAGGTAGAGTGTGCGTGTGCATGTGTGCATGTTCACATACATGCCCCCACATGGATGCCCACACACACTCGCCTGACATGAAGAGGGATGAAGCCAAGGTCTTAGGGCATTCACCCTAGGGAACACTTCTAAGTCCCTACCGTGACCTGTTACTTATGGGGGGAGGGTACAAAAGAAGCCATTTTCGAGGTTTTTGCACCCACTTCTCATTTTATAGATAAAGAAACAAGCCGAAGAGATTAAGTTCATTCACCTCAGGCTCAGCCCCCATCTTCCGTAAACCACACAGCCATGGGAGAGGGGAGAAATAGCTTAGGTCCTCAAAAGGCTTACAGTCTGGTTTGGGGAGGAGAGAGAGGGTCCATCCCCGTAGACTGACACAAAACTGGTCCCAGATTTCGAGGGCCCCGCCCGGCCCTCCTCCAACTGCGCCCTCCCCGCCGTGGAAGAAGTCTGAGAGGCCCAGGGGACACCCCACCAGGGGCCCAGAACCCCCTGCCCACCCCACCCCAGGTTCACTGCCTCTCCAAAGGTGGGCCAACGGCCGGTGTGTCTGGTCCCAAGGGCCAAGGAGTAGCCGTGTGCAGGGAAGTGGTGGACCTCGCACGTACAGGTAGGGTGAGATCAGCCCGGGAAGACTACAGCAGTGAAGCAAAGAACGAGGCCTGAGAAAAGGAGAAACAAGCTCTGTATTCCTGTGGCAACTGAGCTGCCATATTCCTGCTCGGAACTCGAAGAATCCAAGAACTACCTGATGGTGGGCTTGACCACGCCCACCTCGCCTGCCAGGGGTTGTTACGAGGATTACACAAAATAGGATGAATATCCATGAAGTTCATACATTAAACTCAAGAAATTTTCCCAGGGCACTTACTATACGCCAGGCACTGCCTTGGGCTCTGTGGACACAACAGCAAACAAAACAAAGGCTTTTCCTGGTGGGATTGCGCATTCTAGTGAGAAGAGACAGGCAACAAACAGATGAGTGTCACTTGATAAATGTCACTCGAACAAGTGACAGTGAGCCATGGGGGTGTCTGGGGCACGGGGTCCAGGCAGAGGCAGCAACCGGTGCAAAGTGGAGAAGAAGCTAGAACGGAGTGAACATTTACAAAGAATCTACTGAGCGGCTACTGAGGAAGGGCCCCATGGAGTGATGGGCAAATGAACTCACTTCTCAAAGAGCTGACAATCTCATAGAAAAAAGTAAATTAAAAAAATAACAGTGACGCAAAATAGACTACCGTAAGTGTCAGGAGGAAGTACAGAACATCTGAAGAAGGAGAGGTCATATTTGATGGGGGAGTCAAGGAGCTTCATGGGGGAGTCAAGGAGCTTCATGGCGGAGCTGCAGATGAGTTGCTCCTTATGGGATTCTTAAAGGACGAGGAGGATTTGCCAGCTTAGGACGCGGACAGGACAGGTGTGCCAGGTGGGGGGATGGTAGGAACAGGGACATGGAGGAAGGAAAGCATGGGACTTATCTAGCTAGTGTGCTAGAGATCAGTGGGAACAATGGTTCGCAGCTCTGGCTGCATAATAAAATCACCTGGACCAAAAAACAAAACAACAACAGAAAAAGCACCCTGGCCGTTCGTCAGACCAATTAAATCCAAATCTCTGCAGAAAAGGCTTGGCGATCATGTCTTTAAAAAGCTCCCCAGTGCCCTGGCCTGTGTGTCTCAGTTGGTGAGAGCATCATGCTATACACCAAAATGTTTCGGGTACGATTCCCGGTCAGGGCACATACCTAGGCTGCGAGTTCAATCCCCAGTCAGGGAGGTATGAGGGGCAAATGATTGATGTTTCTCACATCAATGTTTCTCTCTCTCCCTTCCTGTATCTCTAAAATCAATAAACATTTAAAAAAATTTTTTAAAGCTTCCCATGATTCTGATGGGCACTCAGGAGCAAGAACCATGGAAAACAGTATGGAGGATCTACAAAATATTAAGACGAGAACTACCATGTGAACCCCCATTTCTGGGTATACATCCAAAGGAAATAACTATTAAGAAGAGATACCTGTATCCCTGATACTCACTGCAGCATTATTCCCAGTAGCCAAGACATGGACACAGCCTAAGTGCCCACTGATGAAGGAGTAGATGAAGAAATTGGGACGTGTAGATATGGTGTGTGTATATATAATAGAATATTACTCAGCTATGAAAAAGGAGATCATGTCAAATTCTGACAGTATGACTGGACCTTACAGGCATTATACTACTTGAAATAAATCAGACAGAGAAAAACAAATACTATAAGCTCTCACTTACATGTGGAATCTAAAAACATCCAACTCATGATAACAGAGAGCAGAGTGGTGGTCATCAGCGGCTAAGGAGTTGGGGGCATGGGGAGATGTTGGTAAAAGGGCGCAAACTTCCAGTTATAGGATGAATGAGTTCCGAGGATCTAACATACAGCAATGGCGACTATAGTTAACGACACTGCATTGCATACTTGAGAGTTGCTAAGAGAGTAGAGCTTTCGTGTTCTCACCATGACATCAAGACGGTATTTTTATGAGGGGAAGGACGTGTCAACTAGCCTTATTATGGCAAACATTTCCCAACACACATGCATGTATCATCCGATCATAACACTGGACACCTTAAGCTTACACAATGCTCTGTGTCAATTCCAGCTCAATAAAGCTAGAAAAGGGATAAGAACCAGCAAGCTAGAAGTCTGAGCTGATGGTTCTACTAGAAATGGTACAACTGTGGTGGGCACAAGCAATGAGGTACCCTGGGGTAGAACGAAGGCTCAGGTGTGTAGCTAAAGGTCTGGACTTCATTCTGCAGGCAGTGGGGTACCATTAACAACTTTCTGAGATATTATTAGAACTACGCACAAGAAG